GGATTACTGGTGGAGAGACCCACCTTTTACACCCAGTAGGGTGTGGGCCACACCCTGCACAGCCAAGGCAGTATAAATGGCCAGCTCTCCAGTGGGTTCAGACACCAGCAGGAGCTGAGAGCAGCCAACTCTGCTCCACAACCAGCACCTCTGGGCTCCCCTCTGGACGCCACTGTGGGATCCTTGCTGACCTCAGACAAGGCTTCAGTCAAAGAATCCAGGAGGAAGCTTCAGGTAAGCTGGTGGCATTCTCATTCTTGGGGGTTTGGCTTTGTTGCCTTATAATCCTGGACTCAGATATGGGGGTGGGGAGGGGAGGAGGAGTCCCAGGATTGTTAGAAAGGACTCAGGCATTTTTTTTTGCTTTACTTGGTTTGGATCACACATTTTTCTGGGGTCACCCTGAGACACAGAGTCTGCTACTTACAAGGCATTGCCCATAACTGAGACAAAAATGAAGGGGCACTAGGCAGAGTGAGATGCTGAAGTGTTGTCCACTCATTATGTGCCACGTTGGCCTTGTTGGACTATGAGCCTCCTGACCTCTGCCTCCAGCCACTTAAGGGTATTATGGAAGAATAGCTGGACTTTCTTTTGGGGAGGTGGTGGTAAATATCTTGTGTGTGTGTGTGTGTGTGTGTGTGTGTGTGTGTGTGTGTGTGTGTGTGTGTGTGTGTTATGCCTGGGCAACAGCTTGAATTCAGGTCTCACATTCTTGCTTAGCTTTTTTTGTTCAAGTCTGGTGCTCTACCACTTGAGCCACAGCTCCACTTCTGGCAATTGGAGAAGAGTCTCATGTGCTTTTTCTGCTTGTGCTGGTGATCCTCAGACCTCAGCCTCCTGAGAGACACCGGAAAGTGACTTGCATTTCCTTTATTGCAATTGGTCACCAGCCTGGACTTTTATTGTCCAGTGTCTAAAAATCATTGGTTCAGCCAGATACTTGTGGCTCCTGCCTGTAATCCTAGCTACTCAAGAGGCTAAGCTGTGAGGATCAAGGTTCAAAGCCAGCCGGGGCAGGAAAGCCTGTGAGGTTCTTATCTCCAGTAAATCACACAGAAAACCAGAAGTGGCACTGTGGCCCAAGGGGTAGAGCACTTGCCTTGAGCTGAACAGCTGAGAAACAGCATCACAGGACCAAAAAAAAAAAAAAACACAAAAAATAGCTCATGTGGTTCCTGTGGTACCATAACATTTTTCTTTGCCAGTGTTAGGGCTTGAACCCAAGGCCTGGGCCAGGTCCCTGAGCCAGTCTCTGCTCAAGGCTAGCACTCTCCCACTTGAGCCCCAGTGATACTTCCAGCGTTTTCTGTTGATGTGGTACTGAGGAATGGAACCCAGGGCAACTTGCATGCTAGGCAAGCACTCTAGCACTAAGCTACATTCCCAACCCCACATTAACTTTTAGTGCCAAGGAGCTGGGGAGAGGGGACACTGATTGGAAGCACTTTCTTGGTTAACAGTCAGAAACTGAAGCTCTCCATGTTATTTGTGTATAAGTACTGGGGCTTGAGCGCAAGGTTTGGGCACTATCTCTTATTGGGTTTTGTTGTTATGCTTTCTTTTTGAGACACAATTTGACTGAAGGCTTTTTCTTGGTGGCTAACTGACAGTAAGAGTCTCATGGACTTTCTTGCTTATGCTACTTTCAAACCATGATCCTCCCATCCCAGCCTCCTGAATCTAGGGATGGGTCCTGGGTGCCTAATCCTCTCTTACTTTTAAATATGCTTGTATCTCCAGAGAAGTCCTGAAAGGTTTTATTTCCAATGCTCTGATTTGACTAATCCATTCATCAATTCACAAGGAAGTCAGTGAGAGATCCTGCTTCTAGGAATGACTTGTTAATTTTGTGCTACAAGGCAGGGGTGGAACCTAAACCTAGGTATGAACTCTATGTGTGAATGTAACCACTGTTTCTCTCTTTTCCTTTAAATTCGGATTTAAGCCCTCAGACTAGATCTACAAACACCCAAACAGTAATGGAGAGACAGGAAAATCAAGCACCCACAGCACCCACAGGTACAATATTTTCAGAGTTCTATCTCTACCAGGGAAAACTTCCTAAGTCTCCAACTTCCAGAGACTGACATGTTTATGCTAGACACCCACATGGGGATGACAGGCTAACCTCAGCCTTGTCCTGACCCCTGGGGGCTAGGGGCCACAGAGGGTCAGAAGCCCCCGTGAGGGTGGGGTGCTTTCAAGGCCGCAAATGTACAATTAAGACCCTATATGGTCTCTGAAGTATAGTATTTTTAATTCCATTTGAACAGCATCTAGATCTGTCCCAGTGAATTGATGTGTTGGGCATTAAGACTCAGATAGATGCTGACTCTCAAATCTTCACCCTGTTAAGATTTGATCACCTCGTGCTAACGAAATGTAGCCATGTTTAAGCCAGTGAATGTAAAGGCAAGATCTGGAAGAACCCTCCTCCAGAAGAACCAGAGAGTTGGAACTCAAGTCTATCTACCTTGTTTTGTTCCATTCACAGGTCAGTTAGATAATCAGTGGGCTCACCAGGAAATCCAGTTCTTCTTGGAGGAATGGGAGTTTCTGGAGTCCAACCTGGACCTCAAAGTGGACAAGAAGTATGATGTCCTGGCCAGGAAAATTGCTCTGCGTCTCAAGCAGAGAGGCATCAAGAAGAGCTGGCGAAAATGCCGCATCATGCTGCAAGGTCTGCAGGATTTATATTGGACCATTTTCGAGGCCAACCAGAAGCCGAGGAGTGAACCATTACCCTGCCCTTTCGCACAGCCACTGCAGCGCATTTTGGGTCCTCAAAACAACAAGGAACAAAGCTCAGGTTTGTCTCTTTATATAAAGTCCTATAATAATGGGAGACATCTGCTGTCTGGCCCCGTCCTCATGGAGACCCAAGGAGGGTCTGTCCTCCCAAAGTACTTGGTGAGCTGAGCATTCAACTCTGCTCTCTCTCTTTCCCTCTCTTCCTATTGCCTGTAAGTGTTCAGTCCCAAAGCAGTAACTGCCAGGGCGTTTGTTGGGAATGGAGAGGACCCGGGGCCAGGCAGCTTTCCTGGGTGCAGGGCTTCGGGACAGGTGAAGGGCTCATGAGCTTCCGTGTGCCTTCCTTCCTCAGGCTCTGCATGTGAACACGCTGTTGGCTTCGCACCTTCTCAGCGCAGCCTCAGCCCTGCGCGGCTCCACCTCTGCTCTCTGCCCAAGAGCCTCAGGCAGCGGCCTGGCAGCACTGCAGCGCGGGCCAGCCTTCCTTGGCGATGCCACACATGCCTGCCACCGTCCCTGGGGCCCCCTGGCACCAGCAGCAGGGGACCCCTCCCCCTTTCCCTAGCGCGGGCCAGCCTTCCTTGGCGATGCCACACATGCCTGCCACCGTCCCTGGGGCCCCCTGGCACCAGCAGCAGGGGACCCCTCCCCCTTTCCCTGGGGCCCCCTACTACCCACAAATGGGGACCCCTCCCCCTTTCCCTGGGGCTCCCTACTACCCGCAAATGGGGACCCCTCCCCCTTTCCCTGGGGCCCCCTACTACCCACAAATGGGGACCCCTCCCCCTTTCCCTGGGGCTCCCTACTACCCACAAATGGGGACCCCTCCCCCTTTCCCTGGGGCTCCCTACTACCCACAAATGGGGACCCCTCCCCCTTTCTCTGGGGTCCCCTGTTACCCGAAGCAGGGGCCCCCTCCCCCTTTCCCTGGGGTCCCCTACTACCCGCAACTGGCTATTCCTTCCACTTTGCCTGGGGACCCCTACTACCCGCAACTGGCTATTCCTTCCACTTTGCCTGGGGACCCCTACTTGCCCCAACTGGGGAACCCTCCCAATTTTCCTGGAGTCCCCTACTACCCTCAGCTGGGAAATCGGCCCCCTTTCCCTGGTGTCCCCTGCTACCCTGAGTTGGGGACCCCTCCTCCTTTCCCTGGGGTCCCCTACTACCCGCAACTGGGGACCCCTCCTGGCGTCCCCTACTCCCCTGAACTGTGGATTCCTCCCCCTTTCCCGGGGGTCCCGTTCCAGCCTCAGGAGGCCACTACTCCCTCTTTAACTGAGATCTCCTCTGAGTCTCAGGAGGAGAGTTCTCCACTTTTTACTGAGACATCTTGCGAGACTCAGGAGGACACTCCTCCCCCTTCCTCAGATACCTCCTCCCAGTCTCAGGAAGGGAGTTCTCTACTTTTTACTGAGTCTTCCTCCCAGTCTCAGGAAGGGAGTCCTGTAGTTTTTACTGAGTCTTCCTCACAGCCTCAGGAAGGGAGTCCTGTAGTTTTTACTGAGTCTTCCTCCCAGCCTCAGGAGAGTCCTCCCCTTTTTAATGCGACCTCCTCCCAGATTCAGGAGGAGACTCCTCCCCTGACCCCTGAGGCCTCCTTCTAGCCTCAGGAGAGGACTCCTCCCTCTTTAGCTTTGGTCCACTCCCAGCCTATGGAAAGGGCTCCTCCCCCTTACCCTGGGGTTCCTTTCTATCTGCAGCTGGGGACTCATGCCCCTTTCCCTGGGGTCCCCAGCTACCCACATCTGGGGACTTCTCCCCCATTCCCTAGGGTTCCCTGCCCCGCATAGCTGGGGACTCCTCCCCCTTTTCCTGGGGTCTCCTGCTACCCGCAGCAGTTTCCAGTCTTGCCTAGAGCCTCTGTAAGGATAATTGCTGTTGGATGCTGGTAGCTCAGACTGCCTACTCAACAGAGTACATGTAGGGACCAGAGTTCAAAGCCACCCTGGACAGAAAAAAAACCTGTGAAATTCTTAATAGTTAATCAGCAAAAAGCCAGAAGTGGAACTGTCACCCAAGTAGTAGAGCACCAGCCTTGAAAAAGCCAAGCAAGAGTGTGAAGCCCTGACCTCCAGCCCCTGCAGCACCACAATGACATT